CTGATAGTTACCTGTTTAGACTACCTACGTACACCAAGATTAGTAGTAGACTGATTGCTCCCTGATTGCTCCCGCCCCCTTCCTTGCCTTCCTGAAGCTGGACCCTAAACCGCCTAGTGTAAGCATCATACATATTTAGTCTGGTGGGGGCGAATCCCCACATCTCAAGTCACCTCTTCCAATCCACGATCACTGTTTGCCCTGCGCTTAATGTAACTGCCCCATTACGTTGGTTGATTTATTTTTGCCTTTTTCCTCTTGTCGTATTTACTCCAGCTAACACATCGCCTGCGATTATCTAGGATTATTATTAGTCGTTATCTAAACTTAGCGGCGGTGGTTGGTTACCCGTGGGCTTTGGCTGTTGGATCGAAGATTCCATTTTCCCTTAGGGGAACGATGGTGGCCACTATTAGTCTGTGACTAACTGTCTGACTATTGAACCCCCCATAACATTGTCTAGGCCACGAGGCCTCTAGTTTGTAGCCTGAGCCTGAGCCTGAGCCTGTCACTCCGTGCTCATATCTAAATAAGTGTTATTTCCACACATTTAGCGCTACTATGCTAGTGCATTATTATTGATCATTATTTAACATCTGGATTATTACTTTTTTTATTTTTCCATTATTATTATTTTCGCCTCTCCGCCGTCCCCTATCGCCTTCTCTGATCTTCATAAATCATATCCCCTCTTCCCCTTATACTTACTTCCCTTCTTCCTTCATCTCTATTTCGTCGTCTAGTTTGCGTGGGCTCGTTCTGCTATTCCTTTTTCCTTCTGTGTTTTTATATTATTTTGGATATATCTTCTCTTCTTCAAGACAGCTCTCTTCCTTAACAGTCGACCATTGATATAATCTTCCCAACATCTCCTCCACAACCCCAACATCATCGAGCCCCCAATCTCCCTGTGGGTTCAGGCAGTGCAACACCAACAAGCACATCATACAACAACATCTCTTGCTACCGCTACAACAAGCCACCAACAACATCTTCCTCCACAGACCATTCCTTAGGATTTTGGACTAGACTTGGAACCATCCTGCTTCTTCCAATGGATACCTGAGTCGAAAAATAAATATCCCTTGTGCCTTGAACGACTCTCCCTTTTGGATATCACCGCTACCACCAGGCCGTTTGGATTTGGATCTTGCCATTTAAGGACGCTCGCTCCCATCAGTCGGACTACTCGCTACAAACACGTTCTTACCCTGCTGGAAGGCTGCATATCCCTGTGCATCCTTTCCAGTCTCTACCCTCTATATCACATCTGCCCTTAATGCTCTCCCCAAATCCCTTCGGCATGTATCCCCCCATGCTTCCGACTCCTCCGCCTTCTCCTCCCACAACCCGTGCTTATGCTCCGGAAGACCGCCTGGGATATCTTCTAGCCAACCGGCTGGAACTGACTAGCATTCTTGGAGTTGGTGCGTACGGCGTGGTCTACACGGCCGTCGACATCCACACCAATGTGGTGTATGCCGTCAAAGCACTGAACAAGGTCGGACTTGATGCCCGGCAGCTCAAGTTCCAGCAGCGCGAGATCAAGCTCCACCATCTGGCCAGCCAACATCCCAATGTGGTTTCCCTGGTTCGTATAATGGATTCCGTCGACTGTACCTATGTGGTCATCGAATTCTGCCCCGAGGGTGACCTGTTCTCCAGCATCACTGAAAAGGGCAACTTTGTGTGCAATGATCCCTTGGTCAAACGAGTCTTTCTCCAGATCCTGGATGCCGTCCAGTATTGCCACTCATTGGGGATTTACCACCGGGACCTCAAGCCGGAGAACATCTTGGTGACCGATCAGGGCCTGACGGTCAAACTGGCCGACTTTGGCCTTGCTACCACGGATTATTTCACTTCGGACTTTGGTTGTGGTTCCACATTCTATATGTCTCCAGGTAATTTATTTACCCTTACAAATGTCTCCGTATTGCGTTCATTCGGCTGACTTCTTATCAACTGAAGAATGCCAGCAACCGAATCCTCGACCTTTGTCTTGCTATGCTTCGGCCCCCAACGATGTGTGGAGCCTGGGGGTGATTCTTGTTAACCTCACTTGCGGGCGCAACCCATGGAAACGTGCCTCGATCGAGGACTCCACATTCCGGGCCTATCTCAAGGATCCTTTCTTCCTCAAGTCCATTCTGCCCTTGTCAGATGACCTGGTTTGCATCTTGAGCCGCATTTTCGAGTGTGACCCCTCGAAGAGAATTACCATCCCGGAGCTTCGCCAGTTAATCCTGGATTGCCCTCAATTCACTCTCAACCCAGTGACCCCCTGGGTTGCTCCCCATGGACCCTTGCCTTACGACGTCATCAGCGGGCCACAGGTCCCTGTGTCTGTCCCTGTGCATACATTCAACACGCAGCAATCGACATCCTCTTCAGACTCGTCTCACTACTCGAATTACTCCGAGTCTGCCGCGTCCGATAGCTCTTGCTACACGGAAGTATTTACCGATATGGACAGCGTTCCATCGATGTCTTCCGTGGAGTATGAGCCGGAGACGGACTGTCAGGGCGACCTTTCTATGGACTCCCTGACATGCAAGGACATCCCAGAGGCCATCGTTATCCAGCCGGATCATCAGGTACTATGCGTCTGCTAAGTATGACGGCGGAACGAAAGTGGACAAACCCAAATTAATGCAAGCTTAACGACTTACGCCATCTATTCAACATCAGGAACTGGATTCCCACAACGTTTTATTACGGCCCCAGTTTTCATTCGGCTTCTTTTTTCATCATTTCTCCTTCTCTGGATATACGCCTTAATCTTGGATCAAATTTTTTCCCCCCTGGACTCCTGGGTGACCTCGCCTGGATTATCTGGTTAACCGCCAGTCAGCATAGGATCCGCTGAGTTCCGGGATCTCTTCTCTGCACACTTCGCTTTGTTTTATTAATATGTTACTATTTACGGGTGAATCTTTGGGTTATTTTATACATATCTCGTCGGACTATGTGTTTTCATTATGTGACTGGTTTGGTGTTGTGGTGTTGGAGTTGAAGAGTTTTTTCTCTTGAAAGAAAAGAAATACCCCGGGTCAGAGGAGCATTTCCTGTACTGATTTTTTACCTTGTTCATTTCTGCCATGGAGTCTAATATGGACGACGGCAGTGGCATGGATATACCACGGAAGCATTGGGAGGAAACAGTGAATTGTTTAGTTTCGCTTGGTTAGAGCGACTTTGGAGGTTTGGAGATATGTCTCTGGACTGGAGGATAAGTTTTTACGTGTGGTGTAAGATTGTGCACAGCTCATCAGCCGATCAGGCTCGTCCATTTTGGAATCAATACACCTATACAATAGACTTTGACGACTTACCTTCCATTCCCACTTGCTGTATACGTTCTGCGGCAGTCTTCCTGTCCTACGCCCTGCGCTCTATATCTAGCACACCGAAGTCGCTGATCGGATAGGCTGCGGCCAGTGTGCCTTGTCAGCACCGTCAGCACATCGTGCCAATCAAGTGACTGTTGTGCACACATAGGCTGACGTGGAGCTAGACGGAGCACGTTGGTGTTGTCTCTATTTCCTGCGTCTGCCACGTCAAGACGCTCATGAACTGCAGCATGGCTACTCACCAAGCGGTGTCTGGACATGCGCAAGCAGGGAGGGCACCTATTAGTATATAACTCAATATGATTTGATATCACACTGTATGTATATGTGTGCCACCGCAAGCAATGAAGTATGATCACGTATTACGACCTCCCGTCACCCGGATCGTCTCCCCACTCACATACGAAAAGTAAGGACTGCAAACCCCCAGAATCGACCTCGCCGCCTCCTCGGGACTCGCTGGCCGTCCTAGCGGAATATCCGGATACGCCTGCTTCTCGTCTCCCTTGCGCCCAGCCAGCTGCTTCCCGGGGATCCCCAGCGCAACCTTGGTGCCGTCGGGGGTGGTGATGAACGCGCCTTCCTCCTTCGCAGCCGTCAACCGGGTCTTGACGAAGCCAAACGCAATCGTGTTGGCCCGCACCCCAAACGCCGGGCCCCATTCCTTCGCGATCGTCTTGGTCAGCCCGACCAGCCCGGCTTTGGCGAGCGCGTAGTTGGCTTGTCCTCTGCAAAGTATCAGTATCCCACCGTATCCCTAGGGTCAGGGGCAAACGCACGCATTCCCATGAATCCCACTCGTAGAGCTAATATTGATAATAACCCGGTCCTCCCCGTCCTTCACCCGGAAATACGGCGCAGCGGCCCGAATCAGCTTGAACGGCGCGGTGTTGTGCACCGCCAGCATCGTGTCCCATTGTTTGTCGGTCATCTACTGGAACATTCGTAACTAGTTCAAAAGACAAAGGGAAGGGCGTCAAGGGGAGGGAGGATGCAAATACCTTGTGGATCACCCCATCCCAGGTAAACCCCGCATTGTTCACGAGGATATGGATCTTCCCATTGCCGAACTCGGCCGCCTTGGAGACGAGGGTCGTGATGTATGCGTCGTCGAGGATATCGCCTACGACGGCGAGGGCGCGCCCGGCGCCAGCGGAGTTGATGGCGTTGGCGACTGCGGTGGCTTTTTCTGTGGGGTGTTAGTTACGGAATGGAATTTCAGATGCTAGGTGGTAGGGACGGACCAGCGTCGATATCAGCGACGATGACTTTTGCGCCTTCGTTGGCGAAGAGCCGGGCTGCTTCGGCGCCGATGCCCTGGCCTGAGCCGGTGATGATGGCGACTTTGCCAGCGAGGAGGCCCGCTGGGTAGTTGAGGTGGGCGTTGACCTGGGCGAGGCGGGCGGCCATCTTGGTTTTAAATTCTACTTTGTATACGAATGGAAATGCAAACAGGCGTTGTTTTTGAAATACAAATTGAGGTGCTGGGAGACTTATATTGGCGCGTGAGGGGGCTCTCCTCTCCAACTATAAGTTATAGCGGCTGGATTGCCGAGGCCCGTCAAAGCCGAGAGCCGTTACTGTTTATGGGAACTACTACATCACAGCAACAGTATTTCGTCAAGGTAGCTATGGATCAATATATAATTAAGTAGGACATACATCATTCCCCGATAAACAACGCAAAAAAGCTTCCACAGTTGCTTCGTACCCCCGAATAATTTGATTGAGACAGCTTCCACGGTTCTCGTCGTACAGCCCTTGCCCGAGATGACCGGAGGGCGACCCGAGGCAGACATCGATCGCTTCCTGCAGTACAGCAAACACCTCCTTGCACTGGACGAGTCGCGCACGCAGCAGGAAGCGACTGATCCACCAACTTTCCTCAGAACACACTTCATAATCACCATATCTCGTCTTCGCACCGTCGACTCCCACTGAATGCTGCGCCGCCAGCCCGTACGATATCCAGTATTCAAATATTTGCAGTGTAAAGTCTACCGTAGAGATAGGCAACAGCAGACTAGTGCTGTCCTTTGGACAATTTCTACATTGCAGAAATCCTTGGCAGACGGACAGAGCTACCTTGACCCCCTGCAGGATCTGATCGAATCGCAGGTGGCTGGCGTTGGCCATCATGTCCCTCAGCTGGTTCATATGGAACACCACTGTTCCTGCACATCCACACATCGGTTGTGGTACATCGGGGATGTGGACTGCGAGGGGACAGCTCGTGAGGCCTTTGGTGATGAACTCCTTTTGAAGAAAGGTCGGTGACATGGAGGCTTGCACATATACCGGATCTGCAGATGGCAGCGGCTCTTGGAAGGAAGAATACGCAAACGCGGAGGTGGAGGCGTCCGCCGTGAGGTCGGTGTCCTGGCTCCTAGGGCTCTCGTGGAACTGTACCATGCTTGTTAGCATTGTATCCAACTGATTCACCGGATCGCAACGCACGTTTTCCTCATTGCTCCGAAGCACTCGGGACCTTTCACATATCGAGTGGTTGTGATCGTCCATGACGGTGTCCGGGTTGTGCTTTCCCTTCAGAGCGCGCAATATAGGCTTCTCGTCCGGCAGCTCTCCCAGCTTCTTCAACGTGGCTCTGTTCTTGCTGCCCTTGGGTTTTCCTGACCGATTGGCGAGTCGATATCGACAAGGCAGCCCGTGACGAAGACACCGGATGCAGGTACTCTTTCCAGAAAGATTGCATTTCACCTTTGATTGTCTGCAGTTCTCGCAAGCGGCCCGGAGTCGGGGTGTGTCTCCACTGTGGCCGGAAGGTTGATCGGTTCCTGCATACATCTGTGCAGATTGGATCCAAAAGCAACGCTTTTTGTCCGTCGGGGGATACTTATTTGACCTATTCCTGCCGGCTTATGAAACAAATATCTCATGTGAGGAGACCCACGCCGGATAAGCGATCCAGTGTTGGCCAACCCTGACAAGTATCTAAAGCAACCTTGTCGATATGGTAAGAAGGCAGAATACCTTTAGACGGTGACTCCAACCAACCAAGCCCCTCTTATATAACTGGAATGCGGAACTTAGAGTCATTGCCCGTATCAGGATTGACTAACCGACGGCAACCGCATACGAAGTCAGCCGCTGTGAAACCCAAATGCTCCATCTGATCCCCCACGCATAAGAGCGACCAACAATCGTCACCAGTCCTTACTGTAGTCCCACGGACCCAGACTAAGCTGATCCCAAAGGGGCAGTTGCCGGATGACTTGGCTGCCACCTGATTTGCTAACGGTGGGAGATTTTAAGCAGCGACCATTCTCACCTGGCAATGGTGGCCTGAAGAGGGCAGCCTCGATGCAACATGGTCAATAGACACAGTGGCGCGATGATGAGACGATGGTAATTAAACTCTACCCAGGGAAGCCGCCATCTGCTGAGCGGAGCCATTGGTGTCGTCAGTCACAGTGCCCAATGACTTTGCTGTCTTTCAGAGTGAGATGATCATCGAGATGCATGACAGCCATGCCATGTGAGCTGGAGATTTCTATGTACGACTCTCTATTCGTCTGTGCAGCTCGAGTGGCCGGGAAGCAAGCGGTGAGCATGCCAAATCCTTTCTTGATGGAAGCCAGGTGATGCTTCCAGAAACATCTTGTATTCTTGCAGGGCATTTTGAGTTTGCCAATTCACACCGTGGAAGAGCTCCCGCATGCCCCGACTGTCAGCAAGGGGTGAAGTTGGTTGGACAGAAACTCTTGTCGCCCGCGAGAAGCCAACATCAGCACGCGTCACTTATCTCCTCTACTGATACGGTTAATGGCTACTTATGTCAACCGAAACATGTTCTTCAAGAGTGATGCATTGCTCGTGTGATCCTATCAGTTTTGGCGGCGAATCAGAACGTCAGTTGGACTCTAACGGACAGCTTCCTGCAATCCCACTATGTCGGTAGTCGAATGCCTTGAGTAAGCCAGTCAAATGAGCCACAGCAGCGCAAACCACTAGTACGTGGAAGATCTGGTGAGAGCTTCCCAATATGTCGAACTTGCCCGGCCGCAGGCGTTCAGGAACTCGAGCTGCATAGATTGTAGCCCCCAAGATATAAAGGAACCCCTGAAGAAGAAGCCATCCGAGTCCAATCTGGCGTGTCATCTGGTCGATCCCGAACATTTGCAACCCGTGGATCACTGGAAACACCGCCGACAGACCCATGCCGACAAACATGGCTGCGCGGAAAGGCCGCCACTGAGGCGTCCGGAACTTGGGGAGAACCGAGACAATAACGCAGCCAAGACCAATAGTGCAGATCATCGTCCAGTACAGCCGTTGGAGGGCTGGAACGCAGTAGAAGCCATAGTAGACGCTTGGCACGAAACTCCCCACAATAAGGCCCACAATACCGACATAGTCAAATGCATTTCCTATGCGAGCGACTAGCGGAGAGTGGTTGGAAACGGTATGATATGTTGCCGACATTCCCAAGCAAAGGGCAGCTCCTGCAAAGAAGCAACCAAAGGCAATGATATCCTCCCTTGTGGCAGTCTCATAGCGAGGAACAAGCTCTTGGTACAGTAAGTACGCAGCGGGAATAGACAGTAGTGACGGCAGAAGATGAGTATAGATGTTGACTGTTTCGTTGTGGAGGTACGTGAGAGATTGAAAGGACGCGAGAAACGAGAACGAGGCTGGTCGGTATCCTGTGTGGATGTGGTGATTATCACGTTGCCAATGCGGCAGGTCGTCCCAATGAAGAAGTTCCTTCACAACCTGGGGCGGCTTCTCGAGAACTGCAGCAGCTATAGCAGCAGGCTGAGACGGATCCGATCCATTTCGATAGCTCTCAGCCGGACGACGTTGGCGAGCAGACATGTTTCTTCACATGCAGTAGAAGTATGCAATCAAGTATAGAGCGGGTAGTGGGAAAAGCTTGCGCGGGTCAACACAAGTTTGCTACCATAACTACGAATTGAAGAATCACAAATTAGTTGAGAGGATGGCAGGTATGGATGAGTATTAAATTTCATGACAGGAGCAGCTGTTGAAAGGTTTCTTATCTCAATAGACCGTTGGGAATCACTAGGATTGTCCTGTTGGGGAAAAAAGGAACCTCGGCGTCCCACTCAAAGCAAACAGGCAAAACCGAGCAAACAATTCAAACAAGCGGTCAGCCCAGTGGACTAACTCCTTCCACGCGAGTTGACGATCTATGATCATACCGGACAGACGACAGCGATAAAGCTGTTATCTCCCCTCATGACGCAATTCACCATCCTGCTCTTCATTACGGCACATTGCCAGCCATGGCGGGTCCCGCAGCACGTTCGGCTCGATTCTCCGAAAGCCGCTTAAAGTCTCTGAAGGAGAGGGATCCACTTGAGGTGGTTGGATTTGTGTCCAAAGGTGATCGGCTGTATGTGCTCATTAAGTTCAATGAGGAGATCGGAAGGCCACGTCGGGCAGGAAGTTGTTCATTGAGCTGATCCCTCGCAGGCTCCTAGATCACAAGGAACAAAAGAGATATTTTGAGCTCATCAAGAATCGATGGATGGAGTTTTGTGCTCGGCACGCCGGAAATCTGATTGAGGCTTTCGCATCCCTTTCTACCAGTGCTTCCGCAGACGCGACAAGAAACCCACCGGCGTCTCGCCTCCAGTTGCCTGGCAACAAGACCGGACAGACTGGTCCTCCGCCGGCTACGGAATTATCCACTCTTCTGTTGTCTCTCCGCAAGCTCCGGGAAGCCGTGCTAGCCACCGCGTCCTCAGTGCCCGTGTCTTTCCAGCAGCAGGTCCATGTATTTTCGGTCACAGTCTCCATCCGCGCTCAGCATCCACCTTCATATTTCCCTTCTCTCCGTTATCTTCTTGAAACATTACATTCACCCTCTCACCCTTTACCCGACTCGGAGCTGAAAGACATCATATCATATTTGATCCTCGACTATGCGTGCCGGCAGCGGGATATGGTTTCTGCCTTCGAGCTGCGTGCACGCGCGCGTACTCAATACGCCTTTAGGTCGGACGTAGTTGACCGTGTTTTGGCGGCGCTGATGCATGACAATTGGATTGCCTTTTGGCAGGTCCGAAACGAGGTGGATTCACCTACGCGGGCTGTGATCAATTGGGCTGAGGACCGTGTCCGGAGGCATGCGCTGAAAGCCGTCGGCAGTGCTTATCTCAACGTCAACGTGAGTTGGATTGTCCAAGGCTGTACAGGAGATGGGAGACAGTGGACTTGGGAGAAATTGGTGGAGAAAGAAGGCTTGGGTTGGCAGCTAGAAGGTGACAAGGTAGTCATTCGAAAACCTAAACCCAGAGTGGCACCAGTTAAGGACAACGCGTGAAAAGGCGTTGGTTCATTGATTTATTCATAGCGTTTTGTTTCCACGCTTCGCTGTTAAAGTGAGCATTTTGAGGCATTGCACGGACATGGCGTTTGTTTGGGGTTGGTATGAGACAGCATGAGCGTCAGAAGTCTCGTTGGATCAGTCATCATTAGCAGGTTAGACTCTTAGATAGCGTTCGAGAGAAATAGTGTTCTACTATCCCTCATAGTGCAGGACATCAAGAGTAGGACCTTTTGGAATGCATCAATCTCATAATTTGAAATCCGCACTTGGCCGATCAAGGTTGAGATCACCAGAGATGGGCTGCTTGGCAACAGACTCGGCAAGACTGGTCTTGAGAATACTAGCTTTGTCGGAGCAAAGCTCGTAGACTGTGGACAGATTGAATACCAAGCTGCCAAACGAATGGTTAGCAGCAACCAACGACTCCAATATTTGACGAGCCTGTGAGTAAGCGTCAGCTTTTAACATATCGGACCGGGATGTATCGACTTACCTCATTCAGTTGTCCTGTATATAATAAACAGATTGCCAGATTCTGGGAGATCAATGCTTTATCATCGTTCTCTTCGCCATTCTCGAGAAGCGCCCTCCATTCGGCCACTGCATCGTTGTACTGGCCTTCCGCCATGCTGAGGAGCGGTTTAAGGATACTCTCGTTGGGCATGCCTGCTTCCTCGTACACTTTCTTTGCGGCGTCAATATCGCCAATCATCAAGAAGAGAAGCACTTTTCTTGACTTGTTTATCGCGGCTTCCGAGTCTGATATTTTCAGGCTGTGCAGTGATCTCCTTGCGGCATCAAGATCCCCCATTTCGATCAAGGCATTCACGCTTCTGATCCCGAGATCAGCCAATCTATCCCTCCAGATTTCTCGCTCCGATTGCGTTAAGTCTGCTCGCATAATTTCCCTTCGCGCCTCGAGGCCAAGTTCGTACAGACCGCCAATGCCTCGGCGAGGATCACCAAACCCGATGCTCTGGAGCCTCACCGCTAGGACTCGCAGTGGCCAGGGTACGATATGACGGGCATGAACTGACGGTTTTTGAGGGGTTTCTTTCGCGGATGCGTCTAGGTTGAAGTCAACGTAATAAAAGGCCGAAGTCAAGTCTTCAAGGGCCTTCGATTCTTGCGCCGCTAGGATAGCATTTCCAGACAGTTCGAGACATGCTAGTCGTGTATAGAAAAGTCCAAAGATCAGCTTGGTATCAGTTGGCGAGAGAGAACGAGAAGTCAGGATGGTTCCGCATAGATAAGCGGCAAGGAGGAAGTGGCCCTCAGCCAACAATTTCTCCACCTTGCCCAAGGATGAGCTCAGTAGTTCATCAGGGGCTGGCGTGACGAACTCCGAGCGCAGGGGATGTGGAATATCAATCTGTGACAGGGAATGATAGACGTCGTAACGAAGGAGATACGACAGGTCTTTCTCCATGCCCGGTGGTAGCTCATTTGGCGCCAATGGGTCTAATGCCGTAAGAGTGTGGCCTGAGTA